ATTAGCACATGGAAAAAGAGTAGATTTTTAAATTTTTTTTATAGGCTTAGTGGTACCATAGCACGGATGCAAGCCTTTTAAATCAATCTTTTTCTGGGGTCTTTTACTATGGAATGATTAGGGAGAGAGAGAAAAATCTCAGGCATATTTAGCTACTTTGTTTTTTCTGCAGTTGTAAACAGTTAATTCTTCCTTATTAAAGATTTTATAATTCTTTAACTTTTATAATATATGCATTCAACTTCCCTACGAAAGTATAATCACCAGATGCTAAGGGTTTAGTCTTACTTATCTATGAAGACTGTGTTTAATGGGAGGAGAATGAGAAGTTAGTATAGCATGTAGAAAAACTCAATAAGGCTCACAACCACCTAATTGCTGTTATTTTTATCTTTGTGATAGAGCTGAGGTCACAGAGCTTGCTTTATAAAACTTTTAAATAATGTGTGAAGCAATCCCAAACCAGGAAATAATGGTGCACGAAAATATGGGACAACTCCCTCTCATAGGAGAGCACCATTTAATAGCACTAAAGGAGGCATCCTACACAACTAATCATTTAATTTTTATTAATAAGTGAGAAGACTAGAAAGTCTTTCCCCTTTAGACTTATGTAGATGATATGCAACATTTTAAGAAATGTTTGAAACAGTTTTTGAAGAATGAAATTTCTTGAAAAGTCCTCACCTATGTTTCTATGTTAACCGTTCCTTAATCTCCTAAGGATTCGCATTTGAAGCACAAGGAGGGTCAAATGAAACTTCAGAACTCATGTTTATTTACAACCCTATGTCTTTAGTAAAAGAATTACCACCTCTTCCTAAGTAATACAAGGAATTTCACCAACTATTATACATACAATTATTTAAAATACAATTAAGTTCCTTGGTGCACTTTTTTAGATGAGAAAGTTACACAGTACAGATGTGTTGGTTATCTCAGTTAATGTCTCATTGTTGGGCATATTCACACAAATAATGACTAAGAACTTAACAAGAAATTATAAATTCAAAAAAGGAGCTGATACATTTTAGCTAATTCATATTACCAGTTGTACACTTGATAGTGATTTCTTCCCAGGAAAAAGTAGTGATTTCAATGATAAATCAGGAATAAAAGAAAAAAAATGTGGAAATCAGAATACCGGTGGTACAGCAAGGCTATCGTGCTGGATTTCATAACATCGTAGCATATATCAGTAAAAAATGATACGCAGGGTCCAATACAAGCGACTGAGTGAAAGAATGCTGATACGGGACAGGTATGATGGAGTGTTCTTAGTAAGAAATCTGAAGGTTTGGAGAAAC